GTTCGGAAAGCGCGGCAGCTCGGTGCGCAGCAGGTCCGCATCGCGGTTCGGAGCGATGATCAGCAGTTCGAAACGGCTTGCTGTCCCGCCAGTGCTTGGCCAGCGATTCGATCAGGAGCCCGGCGCGTTCAAGATCGCCTCGGCGCTGGATTTTGCGCAGAGCGAGCGGAAGGATTCCTTGCCGGACTTCAGAGAACATGACCGAACATCATCGCTGAAATACATATGGGCGATGGACCGCTCTACATCAATTGAGAGGCGGTCGCCCAAGTACCCGTCAGCGGCACACCAGCCCACAATCCCCAAGAAAAAAACGCCGGGCCCAAGGGCCCGGCGAGTCAAACAGGGAGGCTTCACGTCTGGGAGACGTGGGATCATGAGGATCCCGAGTTTCGAACGCGATCAGCCGAAACCTTTCGTGTCGAAAACCTGCACTCAACCTATGCCTCATGACCAAGATTGGTAGTGGTGAAGTTTTGGACACTGGCATGCGGCGTGCGCATGCCTCGCACTGAGTATGCAATCCTGCAAGTCTGGCTGTTAAAAACGGGTCTCCGCCACCTTCCGCAGCAGGAAATCGCGGAAGACGGCGATGCGCTTGGAGTGCCGCAACTCCTCCGGATAGGTGAAATAGACATCCGTCGTCCGGACGTTGAGGTCGGGCAGAAGCATTTCCAGCTTGGTGGATTCGCGGGCCAGGTAATCCGGCAGCGAGGCGATGCCCAGGCCGGATTCGACCGGCCCGGAAGATTCCATAGGTATTGTTGACCCGCAGCACCACGAGCCGCGGATTCTGGTCGGCGTTGCCCTCGCGCAGCAGCCAGTTCACGTCCTGCACCGGCGCGCGCGCGTCCTCGCCGAAGATGATGAGGCGGTGCTGGTCGAGCTCGTCGATCGAGGTGGGCTTGCCGTACTTCTGCACGTAGCCGTGCGAAGCGTAGACGTGGCTTCGGACCGTCAGCAGGTGGCGCTGCACCAACCCGGGCTGGCGCGGCATGACCATGCGGATGGCCACGTCGGCCTCGCGCATGCCGAGGTCCAGTTCGTTGTCGGACAGGACGAGGCTGACGTCGATCTCGGGATAGAGCGCGATGAACTCGTGCATCTGTGTGGTCAG